CTCGTACCTCATCCCATTCACCCATAGTATCTGCTTCATCACCCGCACTTTGTACTCCCCATTCTCCTTCTTTTCAAACACTGCCTGGGTGATCTGAGAGTTCCCAGCTGAATTTCCATCTGATTCCCGTTCACCAGCATTTAAAGGGAATGCTTCAGCCTTCACCACAAGAGGATAAACTTCTATGTCACCCTCTTTCGTTAACCCTATCTCCTCAAACATTGAGAAGTCAATCCCAGTTCCAGAAGGTTGTCTAAACTTCTGGCCAAGTCCTTTCTCAAAAGGCACTGTAACAGATTTAAACAAGCTTTCCTTTGTTGCTATCAGGTTACAGTCTGCATCTTCTTTAGCAAAAAACATAACTGTAATGCTGTGGCACAAGTCAGGGAATAAGTAAATAAGTAAAAAAGGAACGCTTACCTAAGAAACATCATATAACAACCACACAAAAAAAAGTTTACAAATATGCAATCCAGCAGCACAAACACATTTTGTGATTTAAGAAACATCATATGAACGTGTTTAACAACTCAATAAGAAATGTTAGACTCTTTGGGACAAACAAGGTTTTGCCAAATTATTATTCTTTCCATACAATTTGTTTAATTATCCTCGAGAAATATTAGACTCTCTTTTCATTTCCATGTCATCAATAACTTCTGCACACTCATACGTCACTTTGCACCAGGATAAAAGCCTCATATTTAGCAGTTCATCAGCCATATAACTTCTACTATCAGACGATTATATCCATGCAATAAGCTTGACGGACTTGAGATACTTCTTTGGTCTACAAGACTACATGATGTTTTAAAAAGTTGACTTGATCAAGGCTACTCACAATCAAGAAGCATATAAGACTACTGCCTAATATGACCACTACGTATCACCAACAAACAGAATACTCACATTAGACAAATTCAATGCAATCCCATCCTATCAAACAACTGCATTCTTTAAAAATCTATGGTCAAGCATCACTACTCCAATTATCAAAACATATCACAAAACCTCAAATAATAATACACAACCTTGCAATTCAAGCAATTTACCTTCCGGGCGCAGCAGCATCAAAAGTGAACGCAATAAGGAACCTCCCGGGATTCTCCTCATCCGGCTCAACCCGCAGAGAGTCTTTCTTGATATTGACGTCATTCTTAATGGTGACTGTCTTTTGATGTTCCACAAATGGAGCACCCGGAGGGGGAGGGGCAGCTCCATAAGGCAACTGCCCGGGTGACCAATTGGCGGGAGGGGGGCCCATGTAGACCCCGCCGCCGTGATAAGGCTGCGGATAGGGACCCGGGACAGGCGGTGGTGGGTAGAAACCAGGGTATTGGAAGAATTGGGGTGGATTTGGGTTTGGTGCATTTGGATACTGTGATGGGTACTGGTGGTGTTGGCTTGGATTGGGGTCTGGTCCGTTTGGATATTGAGATGGGTAGGGTGGTGTGGCAGCAACAAAGCCATGCCCTTGAGGCGGTTGGGTCCGGTGCCTCCGGCGACCGGAGCTGGTGCTGCCGAAATTACCCATTTTATCTATACTCGAGAATTTCAGTTTCGCTTTTTATATGCTAAACAATCAAACCAGAAATACCATTAAAAGCTTGAATCTTTCTGTTTGGTTGATAAGAAACCTGAAGAAACGCAATGAAAATGTTGAAATTCATTACATAAGATCAGAAAATCATTGTGAGCACACAAACTGATCAAATTCATAAGATCAGAAAATGGGAAAACGCACCTTATGTAATTCTTGCGTATGTGTTGTTTGCATTCTACAGAAGCAGAGGGGAGAGAGAGAGAGGGGACAATGGGGATTGAAATTTCGGAGTGAAATTGAATCTGGGAATTTGGGTGCACACCGACCCACCCAACCACAACGTCCACCCCCACCTCCTTAGGAAAAACGTAAACCGCCTTTCTCTTCTTACCTGGATTGCCACGTCACCATTTGTATTTTGGATAAATCCTAAAATGTGTACTCTTTTTGTTTTTGTTTTTGGTGTGACAAGGCAAAAAACTAGGAATCGTTGAATATATCAACGTATCTTTACATAACAAGATGAGTTTGACTTGCTATCTTTTTTCTTATAAAAGGTGTATCGAAATTCCAACATTGACAAAAGAGAAATAACATTTGACTCAAATTATAACAATAGACTCATAGATAACTGGTTAAGCTCGAGTATTTTGTATACGTGTATTAATTCAACTCCAAAATATTTGAGTTTATGACTGTCTCATGCTCCCATTTTATTATCATGTCGTTTATAGTGATTCTCTACCGGTAAATGGAGGCAGACAATTGTTGTCACATAACCACGGTATATAAATAAAGGGCTCGTTTGATAATCGTTTTAATTTTTAATTTTTAGCTTTTATTTTTTGTGCGTTAGTATAGAGCAAAATGAGAGTGAGAAAAAATTGTTTTCACTTTTGTTACTCCTCTATTCCATCCTCTCCTTTCACATTCCCTCTTAATCTCATATTCACTCTCATTCTCATTTCCGTTCTCCCTCTTTTTCCTCTATACTCTAGCAAAAAAATAAAAACTTAAAAACTATAATTAAAATGGTTATTAAACGACCCACTACACTGCACCCTAATCTTTTTATTTTATCTTTAATCGAGTCACGCACCCGACCGTGATAGGGCCAAATTAGACACAACCTAGTAAGATAGTTAAGGAATATTTATGAAAGAGAAATATATTTTGTCATTGGCAACATTCTTGAATTTCTTTTCGGCATTTCGATCCCAAAAAAAAAAAATTTCCTTTCTGCAACAAGTTTGCATGGCTTTCTTTCTCTCTCTCGTGGGGTCCCCATCAAACTTCGCCGCTCACCAGGAGTTTTGTTCATTTTAGACTCCCACAATATGCACCGAATACAGAATAGGAAAAATATAATCTCAAAGGCCACTCTGCAAATCACTGGGTTGTCTTCTACTTTTATGTTTGAGCAAAATATTTAGGCCCAAAAAATAGGAACCTCTTCGCCAATGGGTTTCCACCACAGTGGTGATGGCTTCCTCTCACCACATGGAAAAAAACTTACATGTAATGGGGATAATATTGTTTTACTATCTCAGGTCAATAACACAATGACACTTGAAAAAGTTGAGTAATGCTATATTTACCACATTTTTATCCCACATTTCTATACCACATGATGTGGCATGTCCATATTATATGTCACATCAATTAAATCAATTAAGTGTACTATAATTAAGGCAATTAGAAAATAAATACTGGAATAAATCAAAAAAAAAGAAAATATGAAATAATTTTAATTGATGTGGCTGTCCACCTCAGCTGCCACATAAAATGATACAAAGATGTAGTATACAAATATGGTAAGAGTAGCATTATTTGAAAAAGTTATCTTACGTGTCATTTCGTTATTGACCAGAAATAGCAAAAAGTATTATTCTCATTACATAAGAGTTTCTCTTTCCCCATGGCACCCCACTTCAAACTCCAATGTAACGCCCCAAAATAGGAAAAATTTAGGGACCACTTCTGATAAAGACCTGAGCTTGTGGGTTGGACTTGGAAGTAGTTATTTATTTGTAAGGAACTATTTAGTAAAGTCTTTCTGCATATTCGTCAAACCGTAATTTATGCATATGCGTCAAAAGAAAAATGACACGGTACTTATGAGAAACCAAGCCACATACACGGGTTAAGCAGGCCAGTTGGTCAGGGTAGTGAATCCACGCCCTTAGAACTTGACATTTCCTATCATATCTCATGAAATTTACAGCTACCAAGTACTCATCTATCGCACAGAACCTGCCATCTCTCAACTAGTTCCAAATCACTACCCGCCTATCCTAACCAAATTAGGTGGTCTAGGGAAAGTACATTTGTAAACTTTTCATGAAATTTCAAATAGTTTGGATCGCCATTTTTCTAAAAGAAAAATAAGATGTTCACGTCTCTGTCAAAAACAACTATGAACTACGGTCATTTTGCATGAGAGGGGTCGCATGGAAGAGAACGGAGAAAAAAAATTCAAAATGGATAAAATAAGAGATCTTTATATCAACAACTGTCGTCATTGCCTTCCTCCAACAAAGAGATCTTCAGGCGCCACTCGATTAAACAACCCCGGTCAGATAAAATTAGAGATTGAAACAATGAAAAAAAATTATCAGAGACTAGGAATAAAGCAAAAGGAAAGTTAGTTTAAGGGCTAGAATAGTTTAAGGGCTAGAATTGTTTCATTGACCAGTCTAGATTTCAAGCTTGGAAAGGAAGGATAACCAGATTAACATGCAAAAGAAGATATTGATCCCGGCAAAGGGGATATGTTAAACTAGGAAAATATCACTGAACAAATAGGTGAGAAATGTAGAAAACCACATCTCAGCACCTAAATGAAAACTTAACCTGACCACAATGTAGAATACCTCAAACCAGATTCACCACCAGGCCTCAACTAAGCAGGACACTCGTGCACTAATGCACAGAAAAGCTCGTAACAACACCGAGTACGCATCAAATTTATTCAATGGAAGAAACCATTAAGTTCTTACATAATGGCTAATGAGTCATATGAACTTGAACTGGAATCCAAAGAAATTCAAGTTCATGGGCCTGGGTTGAAGGTTTGTAGCATACATGCTACAACCAACATGGAAAGATGCACATAAGATATCAAGAAATAGTAATTAAAAGCACCCACATGAAGCAATAAAAGTGCGTACGAGTGAGTGTGTGTGTTTAGAAAGGATATCCTCTCTAGCCAGACAGTTCGGCATACTATGCAACAAGACTATTACTCTAGTCGATTCTTATATGAACGCATAGTCATGTGGAGAGTCTAGTAACATAACATGGCAGATATCTGCTTGCAAGAGAATATTGCCCTCTGAACAAAATTAGATACGTATTAACTTCCGAATCATGTAGTCTAAGGCTAATCAAGAAACTGACAGATAACAATTCTGTGTCTTGGTCCAGATAAGTATAAATAAATTTTTGACAGATAGAACACTATTAAGTAGTGAATTTTTTAAAAACAAATCATTAAACAATAAGGATTTCAATTTATTAAAATAAATAATTGGGCTGTAGATGAGAAACACAACTTAAAGATAAAACAGGGCGCGACATACCACCCATGTGTCCCTATTTTGATCTTTATAGAGCAAATCTTTTGCAGGATCATGGAAGTATGAAACATCTCCAAATACAGGCATGTTAAGAAAAGAGAACCAAATTCTGAGCCAGGGAAATGCTATCTCAGCAACAATTAATTCTAGTCAATCAGATAGATGCACAGGGAACTACCCTGAAGGGCCATGTCAGATTGCAGAAACCAGTACCTTCCTTTTGGTTAATCTAAAAAGAATCTTCAACAACCCATAACTGCACAGTTGTACACAAACACCCCAACATGCTCTTTCACTCCAATAACTTTCCAATCCAAGGTGCCATTCTTGACCCCTGACTTTGGAGACCAAGAGTTGAGGACAATACCTTCGCCTTCTGGACCTCTTTGCCCACCAACAACCAGAAGCTCCTTTCCACAAGCCTTAAAAGCCAGGCCCCAGCCATTTGAAGAGTCAGCCCTCACTGGAAGTCTTCCTAAAACATCCCAGGTGTTCTTCTCCTTGTCATACTTCTTCACCATGTTGGTTAAATACTCAACTGCATATAATTGATTACCAACAACTGCCACAAGAGGAGGAGCCTGTGCAGCCCTATTGACATATGGAAACATACCCTCAATTTTCCTCCATTTCCCTGTCTCAAGATCATATTCCTCCCCACAAGTCAGTGATTCAGTAGGACTTGACATCCCACCAATGACGTAGAATTTGCTGTCCAAGAAAAAACCAGTGCACAATCTACGTGGTGTGTGCATGTTAGGAAGCATTTCCCACCTGCCTGATTCAGAATCATATATCTCCGCTGATTTCAAGACATTTCCATTCTTATCACTACCACCCGCAACAATAGAAATTGAACCAAGGCTACCAGACCCAAACAAGCAGCGAGGCTGGTTCATTCCCTGACATTTTACCCAACTACGATGTATTGCACTGTACTTCCAAATAGCAAAATCCAACAGCTCACGACCAAAAACCAACAACTGACTTCCCACAGCCAAAGACTCCTTATCGGCATGGTTAAAACACTCATCACAAGGCATCTTAGGCAATGTCATCCATTTCTTGCTCACTGGATCAAACGCCTCCCACCCTCTCAAATCACACACCAAATACACCCAATGTTCCACAATTCCCAACTGCTTCCTCAACTCATACAAATACCCACTTTTAATTAACTTATTAAACTTTGTGTTAATACATGACAGCGAAGCATAATCCGATCTACAAGCCCAAGCAAGGCAATTCAAAGCTACATCATCAACAAGACCCGGGACAAGCGAATCACTTGATCCATACCTACGGCGACCATCATTCACTCTTCCCTGCAAACTGACATTAGAAATAGTATTTACTTCCTCTTCAGGAGCAGCCATGTTTCTCATGTTAACAAAAGTTCAGTATACCCCAACCAAAACTCCCAAACAAAAAACAATCTTCATAAAGAGGTTCCAGAAAAGCCCTATTACGCCAATCTCGAATCAATCAACCCTCAAAAACCCGGAAAGACAATTCCGATCTTTGCAGGCAATCGATTTATTCCTTTCCATTAACCAGTATAGTATAATAGTCAAAATTCCAAGTTTCATACTCCAAAAATCCCGACTATGCAAAAGATAATATGCTCAATTTCTATATCAAAAACGAAATTTGAACAATTTCATAGCCATCGCCAGACGATCGAGCTGATTAAACAAAGGAAAATGGCTGATAAAATGGTTCAGAAGTCTACTTATTTCACCAGACGATCGAGGATTCCCAGAAACCTTTCTCGTATGATTTACATATATCCAAACAGGAAAATCTGCATATTCATAAAATTAAAGGCAAATTCAAAATCAAAGCCACAAATTTTGCCTGACAAGGAAAAGAAAAAGCACACAACATCAACAAGAGGCAACAAACTCGATAAAACAATACACAGGGCCAGGGCCGATCCAAATCCAATGCCGATATGATCTGGGTCAGGTAGTTATTCGGATCTCGCCCAAAAGAAGCCAAGAAAGACAACATCTTTAAGGAATGAAGACGAAAATGAAGGAAATGTGTTCGTACCCGGAAAGTGCGTAGAATCGTTATCGGATCTCAATAGTCAGGTCGCCGGCGAATGAGGCCGGAAAAGTTTTCCGTCGAGCATGTTGCCGGAGTCCGGCGATGAATTGAGAAAAAAGATACGAACGAGAGAGAGAGAGAGAGAGAGAGAGAGAGAGTTGAAGTCTGTGATATATAACTGAGCAGAGAGGACAAGGGGTGGGGGTGGGGTTATAACTTGTAAGTTATAAACTCATTACTCACTTGGAATATAATAAACTGAAAATTATTTGTAGTTTTGCAATTATGGCACTGTTTTTTTGGAATTTCTTTTCAAAGCCCTAAATGACTTCTTCTTTTCTTTTTATGCTTGGGTTGGGAGAAAACAAATTTGATCACCACTCACTTTGCTTTGCTTGGTGAGATTTATTATCACATAATGTGTCCTTAAATGAGTGTAATTAATCTATTCGTTACACAAATTTTCAAAAATTAAATTCACAAAACGTTAATGTTAATGCTCACCGCAAATTAATAATGGTGAACAAATCTATTGAGGAGAGTATAAATACACAACTTTTCTCTCATTTCTTGCTTTTTCACTATTTGAGCCTTTTAGAGTGCCTCTAATTATAAGGGTTTAGATTTAGAGGAAGAAGATCGAAAGTAGAACTCTTATTATTGGAGTATAGTTATGAAACGTACATCCGGCTCTTTTGCGCATTTTCTGTGAATAGTGTTATTTTGTTAACATTTGAGTGTATAATTTGCTAAGAATGTTCTTTTGTTAACATTTGAGTGTATGGTTTGCTAAGAATGTTATTTTGGCATTAGAGTATAGGGTTTACTTCATTCTCCTGCCTTCGTGTTTGTGTGTAAGGTTTGCCAATTTCGTAAGTGTATAAACGACAACTCCTACTGTTTAGATAAGCTTTCGTTTTGTAGCTCATGAGTGGTCAGTCTTTTGATTTTTTTAATATGAGAAAGTGGCAAATAGGTCCCTATGCCGAGGTAATAATTTACAAACATTAGTGCATTATCCCATATAAAAAAATAAATAGAAAACGATGCATTTCATTAACCACTTTTGTTTTGTTTTGGGTTTATGCAATGAAAAGAATTCAACACTTGACTTAGCCTAATCTTAAACTAGATTTTCACCCACCATTCACCACTTTAACCAACCCTAAAAGGGACCTAATTTTGCACGAAAGTTTTTGAATGAAATCATTCCTTAATTAAAAAGTAGATCGGTTCCATTTGCATAAACTCATTATGAGTTTGTCGAGTTTATCTTCTCTCCTTGTGAGAGTGTTTAGTTTCAATTTTGCTTTATGTTGTTGATGCCTAGTATTCAAACCTATTGGCTTTATGCGATAGATGTGTTTTTGCTTTTCTATTGGAGGAATAATTTATTGTCTAAATGATGATATTGTATATCCGTCTTATATCTGTATTGGCCTTTGTAGCTAGTCGCCCTTTACGACTAAATACCATTTTTTTTAATTTAAAAAAATCAAATATTATAAGTATAATAGTTATGCAAGGAACTTGTAGCTCACGTAACTAAAAGCAATTAATCATTCTTAGAAAAATTAGCCAAATCTGAAATATACACATATATACATTTGGGCATTTTAATGTGTGACAAACACAATGTTTTCTAGAGGAAGTTTGTAGTTCAAGTGATTAAAAATATTTTTATATATTCGCATTCGTGATTTTGTGTTTGATTTTCCATCCCCAAATATCATCTATAACAAAAGGAAACAATGAATTGAGTTTGATTGTACACATATTAGCCAACCAATTTTAAATTGAAAACTTCAAGGTTGCACTTAACCAACTAATTTATCCTTTCTCCTTGCTATTTCTTCCTTAATCATTTCGTCTTTAAGTATGTAAGTTGTATAAAATTATGCTTAATTGTAGTGATGTGTATTAGTAGTTTTTATTAATGTGTATATTTTTTATGCGTGTGAATGATGCACATGCATGCATAAAAAACTAATTACGGACGGCCGACCAAACAAGAATAGAAACGTGTCAAAAGCAAAACTCTTTTGTAAACCATTATCCAATGGTTGATTACAAATCAAAACCATGTTCTTGTAATTTTCAGTAAGAGCCGCGTGAAACTTTTCCTAAGGTAATCTTCAAAATGTTGGGAAAGCATGTGGTTGAAGTTGGTCAAATCTGGACGGTATAGTCTGAAATCATTTTATGGCAAATCTATGATTAAGATTGGTCAAATCACGTGGTTAGACACACAAAAAAGTCAACTATTTGCACACAGTCAATGAGGCGGCGTTTACTGAAAAAAATGAACGGACGTAGATATTTGGCACAGTAAAGTACAATGAGGCCAGCTGTAGCCAATGAAAGCCATACAATCTCATCAAAGTGTAAAAAGACATTTAAGGACCAAAGCAATCATTGCCTTTTTCTTTATGTTATTATTGAAGTTTCCAAATGACACAAGTACAAAACATAAGTCTTGAAATAAGTCCTTGCTACTCATTACAAAATGGTGCTAGCATTTGGAGGGTACAATTGAAGAAAAGAAAATAAGAGGGGTACTACCATAACTTCTTCTTTTTTTCTTTTTCTTTTTTTATAAATATTTTGGTTTGGAAGTAGGCCAACCCTGAAATCCACTCATTTGTTTCTAAATTATAAGATTTACGTTCACAGACGATAAATCTTGATCATTTGATAAAAACTAATATGATAAATGGTATAAACTCATGATCAAACAACATATGTATTTTACATACCGAACCAATTTGACAAGAAAACACTTCTTCATGTAGAGTTACTACTTATTAATATGTAAGTAAAGTAAATGATATGCGGCTTGAGATTTTTATTTAATGACACATATGAAGGGTAAGTACTTTGCTAAGATACGAACAATGGTGAAGTCATAAATTTTTCAGAGAATGAGTAATATTAGAAGGTTAAATTTAAAAGCTCCAAAACAAAATTTGATAACCAAATACCCTTATGTAAAGTAAACGCACAAGTAATTTGTAATCGAAATTCAACTTTTTATTTTGATTTTCATTACCGATTAATAAACATGCCAGAGTTAATTACTAAAGGTTTGAAGGAATTGTCAGACAATATTCTTTAGATGCGGATATATATAAAATGAGACAAAATCGAGTTTATTTTTCTTATCTTTCTTTTTATTTTGTGGATGGGAGAGATGCATATGAGAATGGGTCCATCGGAAAAAACAGCTATTATACTTTACTTAACGGTTCTTCTCATTCTGTGCGTTGTCAGAAAATCCAAGTGGTTTTCATGCGTCCAAAAGCCTCACTGACACAACCTGCATCCACCGATGCACGCCACAACCTTCACACTAATAATCTTCTGACACGCGTCCCTTTAGGTGGTCCCCTCTCCATGTGGTGTACCTGCACCTGCACCTGCACCACACCAGATATTTATATTTTGGCTAAAACTATTTCCATCAGAGTTTCCTATTAAACTCATATTATTAATTAGAGATAACATTACAAATCATCCACTTATGTTATAACGACGTGACAATGTGATTGTTACACTAAAAAATTTCTCATAAGATTATCATATTATGATGCATAAACTCGAATTATCTATTAATCAATTATTTCTTATTCTTGAACTAGAATTTGTCATGTTAAGAATTAACATCAGTCTATTTCTTATGAACTACTCAAGATTGTATCACTCATATATGAATTTTGGTTTTTTTTCTTTAAATGAATTCATCAAAATTGTGCATTCCTTGCATTGCACGAATTAAAGGCTTTATGTAACTTTTTTGAGTATCGTAATGTTTCATGACATGCCGATGTGTTATTACGAATATATTATCTATGTAAATTATTAACGATGGTGTTGTTACTACTATTATAAAAGGTGTTCTTATCCTCTTATATTCGGATCCTTTGGCATGGGTTATTAGCTTTCTTGTTTTAGAACTTGTAGTCGGTTAAGCTTTTGGCTTTTTGGTTATCTTCTTTCTGTTTCAGTTTTATGATCTAATAGACAAATAAAATTCCGGCTTCATCTACTAAAGATACAGTGAGGGGACCCCATCAACCCATGATAAATTTGTATTTTAAAATTTAAATAAAATAAAATAAAATGCAACTCAGCATGACGCTGATGTAAATAATTTTTTTTTTTTTTTTTGGGGGGTAAGTGCTGTTGGAAAATAATGGTGGGTGGTTGAAATTGAAAATAAAAACAAAACTAATTAAAGAAGGAGATGACAGGCTCGCACACCCCAAAAGCTTGTTGTCATCTCATCTCTCACCATTTCCCGGCGACTATTTTTGTCATTTTGTATGGCCATTCAATATTCATCGCCGTCTTCGTAACAAAATCCACGTGTTCTTTGGTGCGCTTTGCTTTCCCTCTATGAGCTTTCACACGCACAAAAAGAAAGAGTCTAGAGAGAGAGAGAGAGATGCGTGTGGAATAATCTGAATATGAAAGAAAGACAAAGAGAGTACAGGGAGACGTGACGAATCTGATGTGTGATTTGTTGGTTTAATAAGTCTCTAATAATAATAATAATTAACCTGCTAAGTCAAAAAGCAAACTTAATTATAAATTAAGTAAGTTCCCTGCAGCTTAGTGGACAATAATTTTGGAGTATAGCTTGAAAAAAGAAAGTAGTTGGTAGAGACATGAAGAGAGAGAGAGAGAGAGAGAGGGGTCTTTAATATGAATGATATGACCCATTACTAGTTGTCTGTTTCTGAATAATCCTTGCTTGTCAAAAACCATAGCCTAAACCCTACACACTCACTATAGCTCCACTTGATTTATGAGATTCTCTGGAAAATTATTAAGCGTATCTGATTCACTATGTGCTATGTTTATGTGGTGCATCAAATCCACCCGGAATATAATGTACCGAGTCCTGTGTTCACCATCTAGGGTTTAGGGTTTCGATATTCGCACACCACATCAACATGCCACATGGTGTATTACGTATACATATAATATGCTTATTCCCTGATATTATAGTAGACTGAGATTATGCACACATGAGAATGGATTTATCATCCACAGTTTTGGTGAGAATATCAAGGGAATGGATTCAGATACTACACAGTATGAGCTTCATGAACTTGACATGATGAAAATAAGTAAAACCAGAGGTTGAAGAACCTGCGAATCACTTACCACACGGAAGCCAAAGAATCAACTCATGGCAGAAAACACAATAGAGAAAACGGTTCACGGTTCTGTTTTTCATTCAGATGCTCAACAAACATTTGCTAAATGTGTGTACAAGGGCCGGATGTAGTATAAGTTATAACACACTTTCTCACCGCATTGTGACAATTCAAAAACCTGCAAACACCGAGACAATTTTTGCAACTTGAAAACCAAAATTGGAAAGCCAAACCCATCTTGCCTCCTTTTGGCTATGGGAGGCTGTGTTCCAGTCTTCCAGAAAAGTTCGTTTGAGATTTATTTCAGTCACGATTTACCTCCCTTGCAGATCAGATAGCAAGGCCAAGGCAGGCTGTGTTTCAGTCTTCCAGAAAAGTTCTTTTGAGACTTGTTTTTGTCACGATTTACCCCCCTAGTAGATCAGATAGCAAGTCCAAAGAGAAAGAAAAGGAAAGGAACAAAACCTAAGTTTTCTACTGTACAAGAAACAAAGCCAACCTAAACAGCCTAGTCACTATGGTTTATGCTACTATCATCTTTCGTCCCATTATATTCTTCCCGCAAACTCTTGCGCTTGCACCAACATGAATACTGAGGTATCGACCCATCATCTCCAATAACCCAAGTATGCTCAGCAACAGCCTCTAATGTCAACCTCATGTTTGGGTCTGCATAAGATATAATCCGATAATCATGAAGGGTACCATGGAAAAAATAGAAGAAAAAAAAAAAGGACATGGAGAAGAAAAAGGGTGATAGACTTGCAGACAAGAAAAGAAGCCCTTCTAGTAAATCAAAATACTTAATGTCACCAACCTTTACAAAGAAGCCCTTCTAGTAAATTTTTCAACTGTGGGGTCATATCATCTGGAAGTACTAAAGGGTTATTAACAATCTGCGAAGAGAAAATTCCAATAAGATATGTTATAGGTACACCATATATACCAGGCTTAAAGTATGACATAAGTAATGGTTTTCCACGGCAATACTGGTGATTTCCATACCTTATCATATGTATCCTGCAGTGTGTCTCCAAGGAACGGGTATTGTCCCAATACCAGACAGTATAAAGTAACCCCTACTGCCCATGTGTCAGCAGCTCTACCACGATAGGTTAGCCCTGTTGATCAGAAGAAAATAAATGTACAGTACTTATTTCCTGTTTAATTAAACCATATTGTATATATGTTGGGGCAATAATCTGAACTTTATTCAAATCCAATCCTCAAAATCTTCTTAAACTGGATTCATTATACTGAGAAAGTCTGCCTTTATATGAATAAATAATTATAATATATGCAATCACATACATATGAATAATTAGCCTTCTAACAACCAAAAAATACAATAACAATACATATATTTGCTTATGAAATAACACAGAACAAACACCTATTTATATGCTTGGACCCAAATGTAACTTGGGAAAGCTGGAACATCAACTACTAGGATGTGCCCTAGGGAATAAAAATTAGACGGGTGTGTGTACTGAAAATTCAGATTCGTATCAAATTGGGATATTTTGTTTTTATGGAATGAACTCATTTGCAGATTTCTATTCAATATTAATGTGTCAAATTCAGACTCCTAATCAAGTTTGATGTGTCAACTCAGACTCTTATTCAAGTCCAGATTTGAATCTAGTATACACTAATCAAGCTATACACCAAATCTGGCCCATTTATATCTCACAGCACAGCACATAGATTTTTTCAATATGCTACTTTTTTTTTTCGGCTGACTGCAGCTCACACCGGATGGATTGAATCCAGGACCTTCCACCTGTGTTCTTAAGTAGGAGGATGTTCCCTTTGGCCCAAAGGCCACTGAAAAATCTACTAGCACATTTTTCTATATTGCAAAGAAAATTGAACATATCTTATCAAACAGAAAGAAAATCTAACCTAAACAACATTCAGGTGCAGTGAAAACAGGAGTCCCTGGGGATCGGCGCAGCTCGTCATTTTCATCCTGCAGATGAAGCCAATACAACACATTATTTGTAACTGAAAACTAAGACTATTAATACACCGGAAAACATTTAAACAAAAGTCAGAAAGAACTAAAGCGATATAAGAAGAAAAGTAACTTATTGCTCTGAAGTTGGTACAAATTTCAGCAGTCAGATTACCTCAAAAACCTGGCTGACACTAAAATCCCCTATCTTCACTGTACCATTACGACTAACCAAGAGATTATCAGGTTTGATATCGCCGTGCACTATGTTCTGTTTTCAAAGGAAACACAAGAAAATCACCACAGTGATAATGGAAACCAAACAGTGTACGTTAAAGGAAGCTAGATTGCATATAAAGGGAAACAGCTGTAGTGCTCCATGGACTATGGGTGGTCCTATTTTCTGAGATATATTCCAAACTGTTGTTATGCATTTACAAACAAGTGGACATCAATCTTAACAATCAACGCATCTTAAAATAAATAATAAATGGTTTTCACGATCAAATAGCACAATGCACACCAACTACCTAGAATAAATATGCTCTAAAGCAGATATTAAAAATAAATAAAAAATCTTTGTAGAGCAGGTACTAAATTCAATTCTCATAGTGTAAACAGGTGAGTTGGCTTGATTGCATTGGTTATAGAAGCAGCTCAAGCCAAATAGAAAGCACATTACAACTCATCAATCATATGCACATTTTAGATGGGGATTATATTTGAGTTCTCCTAGACACAGAACATTACTATTTCATCTCTACACTAGAGAACTAATCATTTGCAGAAAAATTTAAATCAAAATCGTTTCTTCATATGTAACAAGTGCATGTGTTGATCAATACAATATATGGCCAGCCAGATCATAAGGACCAAAGTGATTTCCTTTACAAAATGTATCCCCATCAAAAGCAAAGAAAACAATACAGAAGTAATGAGAGAGTTCAGCCAAGCATATATACTAAACCAAACTTTAAAGATCATACATGAGCATGGAGGTACATCAGCCCAGAAACTATATCCCGCAAGTACTTTCTTGCAGTACATTCTCCTATGCCGCCTGGTGGACCAGAACCCTCACAGACCCATTTGCCTTCAACATATTCAAGAACTGAAACAAGAAAAGGAAAAGAAAAAGAAAAACTTGCAGTCAAGCATGGGCCAAACCAAATGGTACTTGAAAATATTCAACACTAAAGCATCAAGATTTATTTATTTTAAAAATTAGTCGATAGTCCCTTGCCCATTTTTTTTTTCAACCAAAAATATAATCCTTTTCCTTTTCAGTTATATATGTCCCTTTATCTAATAGACATTGTAAAGTTATGTCTCCTTTAATGACTCACATGCTTATTTTTATGGACTGATTGTATCAATTTGAAAAAGTACCAATAACACCATTGTAATTGTCTACCTACTAAACACAATAATCAAAACGTCATCCTTCCACTCAAAGTAATAAACAGTAGTATCTCGTCATTTTTTTTCTTTGTACCTTTTTTTCTTCTCAAACTTTAAAATAGCATAACATTCATTGATTTTCCCATAAAACTTTATACTTTTGAAAATAATTTATAGAGATTTATCAGACAAGATCCATGATGAATATAAAATTAAATATGAAGACAAATGAGGATAGTGTACCTGTTCTGTATTTATGGAACATATACACTATCCTGATGTGAAAAAACGAATTATGTTGCATCAGGATGATCTCAGGCAATTTGTACTTGAATTTTGTTTTCTAGATAATTATATACTTATCATGTTCTAATTTGATAGATCTCAACAAATGTTTTCCGAAAGATAGAAATTTTATGAAAGTCAAACACATGGAATGAAAGTATTAACACTTCAAAATTCAGAAGAAAAAAATGAAGAGAAAAAAGAAGACATGAAAGTGGTGTCCTTTAATTTTGGTAAGAGGATCATATTTTTTTTACTTGTAACCGGGTTTGATTGGGCTCTCCTTTGAATTTCCCTTTCTCTATTTGGGATAAGTTTGAAAACGCATCATGATTGCAGAATCAAGCAAATAAGTTTAAAATGTGTAGAGAGAGAGAGTAGGCAATAAATACCCATGTAGAAGTGATCTATGTCTGGGTCGTCAATCACCTCAATGAGATTAACTATGTTAGGATGGTGCAACATTTTCATAATATGAACCTGTATGTTAAAGGAATAGATATTAGTGAACATTCATCTAATTGAGCGGGAAAAAAAGAAGTTGATATGGCTAAGTAATCTGCCATAAATATGAAAGGGGAAAAAGAAAGTATAACAAGTAGTAGGGTCTAGTAAAGTGGAATACGAAGCCTGGTTGGCCCACTACAACAAAAAAGCATAATGCCGAACCAGGCGATACAAAAGGTCTATTCTCAAGATGTTGCTCGCCTGAATAAACTGATATGATACTGAAAAATAAAGGGCAAAAGCCACTAGAAAGGATAATACAACGACAAGGCAACTGATCAAGAGTTTCCATCCAGGAAATGAACACTCACACACACTCACAAAGACAGAAAACACATACCTCACGAAGAACATCTGTCATAGCTGTCTCTGAAGGTGCAACTCGGAGCTTTAATAAATGAGACTTATGAAAGGCCTGCAAAAATTCAACTCATGTAACCTTTAAAAATAATAATAAACAAACTCATACAGTAACACAACCAAACCTCTACCATAAACATACTAAGAAAACACTGAAGATTATATCATTCTTTATCTAAATAATTTAGAGTTACAAAGATATCATAAATCAGAAGTGATTTACATAAAGTGTATTGCAATTTCCTAGGAGCACGAGATCACTTTTCATGACTAGAGTTCTCTCTTTCATCCAAACCACTGAAGCCACTAATTTAACACAAAGAAAAACTACCTTAATTGCATAATGCTGTCCATCTACAAGGCTTCGATACAGAACCTGTAGCACATGCAAGACAAAAAAAGTAACGAAACATTTCCAGTAAGCAGTAAAAAACAGAAGGAAAAAAAAAAAATAAGTATTTCACCCAGAAAATAAAGAGTTCAGTGCTAAAATTACCACTTTTCCATAGCTGCCTGCACCAATTTTACACTCACGAACATACTCATTGACCATCTTATTCCCGTTTTCATCCTGAAAGCGCATGCAAAAAAGTATAACTGGTATGAGAAATGAATTTCAAAGTGGAAAACACAAATGGCTTCCCCCACCCGCACTCCCCGAAAAAATGAATTTCAAAGTGGAAATGAATACATAACTCGTCTTCAAATTAATTGCATTAAAAACCTAGCACTAAAGTTTACCATTAATGACAGTATAAAATTCACAATACCCAGCTCACTTATATAGTAATAAAAAACGAGGCCAGATCTTGCAACCTCATGCCAACCATATCATATGTCATACAAGTGTGCTGAATGTGTGATGAAAATTTTGGGTGGCTTACTAGACAAATAAAAATTGATCGGTTCCTTCATAAATATTAACCAAGTCATACTCAATTCAATGACTACCACGCACTGTACTAAAACTTATAAGATAACACAACTAAACACTTCAGAACAAAAAGAAATAAATTATTTTACCTTGTACCCTACAAAATAAAAATGAAAAATTTACCTCTGTGCGAATGCATTTGTGGGTTTCCTTCACAGGGACCTGCCTACAAATCATTCCACTCTGTTCCCTGAAGTGTAAAATCTCTTCAGAACGATTGCCGCAGATGTGTGGCTCACTTTCATCAGCATGAGTAGTTCTTGTAACCTCACCATTATATGAACCATCATCCTCATCTTCTATATCTTCATCCAACAACAGCTCCTGGGAAAGGTGATTATTAAAGCCATAATTGGGCCTTGTTTTCCGTTTGGGCTTTCTAATGAAACCAAAGCAACTGCAGCAGCCCATCATTTTCGCAAGTGAGCAACTCTTAAGGAACATTAGAAACTCAATATTTCTAGTAGTTACTATAGCTCCCAAAAACAAACCAAATGTAACCTGCAAAATAATATACCAAATAATTTCAAAAATTATAAATTTCACAACACATACATAATATATTTGTAAACACACACAAATACGTGCATATGTAAAGTTACTTTAGCATATTAGCCCTGACAAACTTCATCTAAAACACAATACAAGAATTTCAGAAAGAAAGGTCCTGCTTTAACCATCAAGCCGTTTCTGCATATATATACTAAGCAAAAGCCAAACCATTCTGCTAGAATTTCTTATTAATTTTTTTCTTTCTAATTTCTTCATGTTAAACTAAATAGTAATTCAGAACACAGGAAAGTCTAACATTATCAATTACAATTTTACAACTTGGGTTTTGGCAGCGGATGCAAACCTGAGTTTACAGAGGGAGAGGAGAGGGCTTCAAGCCCAATTGAGCTCTGCTATTCAAGTGGATGCCACTCAGCCAAATGAAATAAACAGCTCGCAATATTGAAGCCATCACGATTCAAACCCAGCATCGCGATGACTCCAGTTTATATAACCACTAATGCAGGCTAACCCACACCGCCCCAACAAACGATACGTTGACCCTGTCCTGAAATACGTACACAAACACAGAGAATTTTAATAAACTAACAAAAAAATTAAACAATTTAACAAAATAGCACTCCCAATTAAAAAAAATATATATGCATAGCTAAAATTTACAAAAGGACAGCTTTGCGTGGAACTCTCAGACCACGTCAAGCACCTACGACAACGACATAGCTTTTTGAAAAAAAATCTGGGTGCCGTACCTCAAATTCAAAGAGAAGGAGACGTGATTTCAAAATCCCTATCTTTCCCACACCACAATAAATTAACCCAGTTTGAAGAATCAAAATTTGAAATTTTTTTCTTAAAAAAAACCCTAATTTGGACTCAAGGAGGGTGCGATTGCAACATTCATAATGAATTGAAAACCAAGCCCCCGAGATTGTGAGATGGCGAATACCTGAGAAGGAGAGGAGTCCGAAACGGAGCCCTAGAACGGTGCAATCGGGAGAATTTAATCCCAGGGTTGGGAGAAGGGATTTGAAAGAAACCTGAGGGCAGGGGAGCAAATTGGGAAATTTATTTGGTATGAAAGTTGGGTTAATTGGGGAATGTGCATATATAGGAGGGGCAAAAGCGGAAAAAGAAAAGTGAATTTGCGGGAAAAGCGCTTCCGAAGAAGCAGTGGGTTTGTTTATGGGGGAGGTTAGCCAGATAAAAATGGTTGCTTTGCTTGTCGTTCATCGCGGGGAAGGAGAAAATGGAATGGTAGGTGGGGTAGGTGTGTGACCGTTTTATGTCATTTTATTGGGGGTGAGGTGTTGGGTTTGGAAAGTACACATCTTTGACACAACAAAACAACACTCATGTACTACTAATCCACCCAAAAAACGAAAATCACTCTGGTGGATTTGAGTTTATGGGATGTGACTCATGTTACAGTTTCACGCAATTCATTGATTTAGATTGTGTATTTTAATTCATCTCATTCGGTTTTCATCTATGTCAATTTTTATGCCATTTCAAGTATCATGTTAGATATGAGAAAAAATTGTATGAGACGTGACGTTACTAATCCAAATGTTATTATGTGGACAAATGGTATTAATGGACATGGTTGATATTTCAAGGGTCTAGAATAATATTAATGAATAAATACATGTGTTATAACATGAGTATATTTGTAACACCACGTAACAATGTACATGTCTCATCGAAAAGTTACTCCAAATTTTTACTCTCACTTTCTCTTTCACACTCCCTACGTTTTCTCACTATTTTGCAGTTACTTCCTCGTAAATACATCCATAATGCATAGCATGTGTGGAGATTCCTAATTTTTATAAAGGGAATAATTATTAGTGCTCCATCCATTAACTTACTACCCAATTTGATGGTATGAGACAATGCATTAGGGGAGCACGAATAATGCTCCCATAAAAGAAAGTTATTAAAAATTAAATAAAGTATGAGAGGTAAGCATATTTTGCTAATTTTCATGTAAATTAGTGATGGCATTTAGATAGGAAAAAAAATACCATCACAAGGCCGATTGTGCAAGAAAACCGATCGACACTTGCGGTTTTTATGAACCAACTGACACCTGCGGTTGTTGAGGCGGTTTCGTAAATCCATACTCAACAGTATATTGAACATATGACATATATATAATGAGTTAATTTAATATATATTTTTAATGATATTTGTATTCCTTAGATTAATCAAACGACTATGATTTAAGAATTGAGATTAATCCTAGCCGTCATTAATTTCACTCACTCTTTATTTGCGAGTCACACACTCACAAGTATCTGAAGGATGCACGTTACATTCATCGTGCTTAAAGTTACATTTTTCACATGCATACACTTGCTTTTGTGCAACTTACATAAATGCCAACACAATAGATAGTTAACTCTCAACTAAATCATTCACGACACTTTGTTAACCTTTGAAAAGACACTTAACATGTTGACTTGTTGACTATTCCTAATTTACATTACTATGTACAACGCCCGTAAGTCTTAATTTAAATGGTACAAAAACTGTGGAGTGAGAAATCTCTATATAATAAGTTGTACAAAATTAGAAAAGGAGCATAAGGAGAACACTACATATATAAAAGTTTCTTGGAATAATGAAATCATCGATGAACCCAAATCAATTAGTTTAGATACATCAAGTCCAATGCTAAACCTTAATAATACAGAATTATGACCTAACCCTTCAAGAACTACCAGTCGTTATGCCAAACAAATTACTTTGACAATGGCATTTTAATTCAAGTGGGCCCAGGGTTGCCCTGCCCAATTACTTTGACAAATTGTGGGTTAGGATAAAACGTATCAAAATGGGCCCACTCAATAATCCAAGACATAATGCAATCAACTTATTTAGTCTTCCACTTGATAGGTAAATTACACTATCAAGTTGATGAGGACAGCGAAAAAGGTTAACTGAACAGATTTGGATAACATATTTTTTAAAACAAAAATAACTATCAGTTAGCTGTAAAATGACAAATTTATTCATGTATTCTGGTTCGGTTTGCAATCAAGTCCAGAACATAAGTTTCGTTATATTAAAAGATGAAATTCGACGTGTTAATATGTAACCACTATTATGAAGACACTTTTTTTTCTCTCCAAATATTCGTAATCAATTCAAAAGTCGTCTATTCTTCTTAACATTATTAGAGCTTCCATAGTAGGGGAAGTATAAATTTGGAGGTGTAAAGACACTTTTATATCTTCTTTACACTTCCGGGAGATGCAAATGTCATTTTTGCTCCAATGAGTTGGATGCAAATTCAAAGATGTAAATCCGATTTTCTTGTATTAATTTATTTTTTGTGTTTAATTTTTTTTATGTTAATTTTGTGTGTGCTAGGTTTAATATTTTTTTTTCTAAACAAATCGACCTACAAATTTAAAAATTCCAATAAGATATAATTTCATTCAATATGATGTAAATAAAATTAATCTGAACCGTCGGCTTTGATATGAATTTATACAAATTTATAAATAAACCCAATCCTAGACATGTATTTATAAAAAAAACCCAAGCACTATTTAAACATAGAAACACACCCAAAATCAACCCCAAAATCAATAATTATATATTTTTTGGGTGTGTTTATAAATGGGTTTTGAGTGTGTGTAATGATGGGTTTTGGGTGTGTTTATAAAGTGTTTTGGGTGTTGGGTTTTTTTATAATTTCAGCCCCCATTTTGGGTGTTTTAGTGAAACTCCCATGAATTTATTCTTCACCATTGATCAGTGAAGTTGTTAGTTTCATGTTTCAATTTAAATGAAACATGACCATACATTAGGAGAAATTATAGAATAATATGGTATCATCACATCACCTCGTGATACTCCCATTCAAAATTTGTCATGTGTTATATTATTATAAAAATAAATAAAACTATTTATACATCTGGATTTAAAAATCTTTTTTTACATTTTCAAGTTAAAAAATAAAAGAACTGGAAACAGAAAAGGAAAAAGGGGCCACCTTAATTAACAACCACCTTTCTCGCAGAGAATGCTGTCCACCATTACTGACTACCATGTACGTCATTCATCTTTGTTTATTCCCATATTTCATATTTCTATTTCTTCACCTCAATTTATCAACACAACCTTAAACATGAAAAGGATGCTTGAGAATCTAGCAGACCTAATAATTGCACATAGGCCTCTCTTTCAATTTAGGGTTCAACGAAATATATTGAGGATTTGGAAGGAGGTGGGTTTATGGTTTTAAGGGATTTGTTGAACCCTTCATAGTCTTGCAAGGCCAAGAACATACAGTTTCGAAGGTCAAGAAGTCTAAAATCTTCTGATAGATTTCCATGGCAGGCAGTTGGGGTAGGGCGTTGTCGTTTAGGGAGGTGATTGCTTGGCTTATTATTTTTATTTATTTAAAGTTTTCTAAATTTAAAGATAAAAATAAGGGTTAAATTCAGCTTGTAAAAACTTAGACAAGTGGCAAATTTTGAATGAAAGTATCACGAGCTGACGTGGTGATACTGTATCATTCTATAATTTCTCATACAGTAGAGAGTTGTTGGAGAAGAATGTTGTACATTTGCATCATTTTAATAACTTCCCCATTTTAATAAATCTTAGCCACGTCTTGGGCCCACCATTTTAATAACTTCCCCGTCTTTTAGGGAGCTTTCCTCTCTTTTCTATTTTGGCTTTTATGTTACGGAACCCACTTGGCTCGGTGTAAAATTAGATATACATTTGCATTTTTTTTTCCCATCTCACGGCTGTGATGTATATTTATAGCCATATACACCTCCCCATTGCAGAACATTCCGGCAACCAAATGTGTATATTTGACATACACCTCCATATACACATTACCACTATGTATGCTTTTAGAGTTGTAGGACTTGATTTCTTCTTAACAGATGTTCAATTAGGGCATATTCAATGCAAGAACCCAATATTTGGACGCAAATTCAAATTATGGGTCCTCTGATTGTGAACTGTAAAGCATAAAATGCATTGGTACATTTTCTAAAAAAATACGATAAAAAAATTTGGCCACTACATAATATTTTAATAATATTTTTTTTTTTATATGTAGTCTTTTCATAAGAATACATGAGAAAGACAACTAGGATATGTGAATAAATATGTATTAGTTGTGAGTATGTATATGTATAATAGACGAATTATACATTTATTTTTAAAGTTACAAAATTTTCATATTATGAGAAATATACATAAACAAAAATATTTATAAAAAATACATACATATATAATATGCGGATTTACTAACTATGTTATAAATATCCATTCATTATTTTGCTCTAATATGGAGGAATGAATTTTCTTTTGAGTCATAGGTCATGAAGGGAACAAGATGAGGTTCATAAACTTGCACCTACCTACCTTTCCAAATTCCCATCTACCACAAAATTATTAAAGAGAAAAAGAAAACACTCCCCACCTACTCATCTATTGGAATAAAAAAATTGTGATGTGTTACCTTCTTTTGATTTGAGATACGCAATGCACATGCACCATCATAATTATGTTACTTTGATAGTATGATAGACTGGTGGAATCATTCTTTTGTGGGAGCAAGAACTTGTAAAATTTGACCTATGTTGCATTGGCTAATGGAGCCTACCGCCAATTTGTAAAGTTTTGCCTAATGCAGCTCAAGTCTCAGATATTCCTTTGCCATATCTTAGTCTTCTTTGAGGTATTTTATCAAACTATTTGCCCCCATTCAACATAAAATATCATGAAAACTTGGCATCTTCGTAGGTGTAGAACAAGACTGAGTGGGGGCTAGCCTTCACCGGCTCCTTACTAGATCCGCCAATGTGTGGAACGTTTACTTACCTAGAGTGTTTATTTTTATGTTATTCGTTAATATGAGATTGAAATTATTATGATTCATGACTTTTCCAGTATTTATTAATTTTAAATACATAATCACCTTAAGTCAATTAGATAGTTATACTTTATAAGGAAGCTACGTATTCTTCCAAGATAAGATTCTAAGCTACGTATTTTACTTTATAAGGAAGCAACATGATGTGATGTGAGCGTGAGTGTATGTTGTTCCTCATGAGTTCCATTTTGCTGAAATACAGGCTTGAATTTTGCGTGTATATTTCTTGATCATAGATACAAG